GCTGCAGTTGCTGGCCACCCTGCCCGCAGCCTCCCCTGGAGCCCACCATGCTCAGGGTGATGGGCATGGATGACTACTGTGCTGCAGGGCGCCGGGGCAGCAGAAGTGGCCCCTGCCGAGGGGGGTGCTGGGGAGGGCTGGGCGTGGAGGCAGCCCCTTGCCCCCCCGGCTCACCCAGTCCGAAGTGCGCCACGGGCTCCATCTCGCAGAGGTACCCCGATCCGCCGTCGATGATGCGCAGGTGGGCCCCACTGTGCCGCGTGAACAGCACCACTTTGGCCCCCCGTGCAAAGGCCCCAAAGCGGGTGCGGGGGATGACACGCAGCCAATTGTTGCTGGTGCCCTGTGAGGGAGGAGGGAACAGAGACACTGAGCTGGGAGAAGCAGAAGGGATGGGGACAACGCGAGGACCCCCTGCTTGACTCACCTGGGTGCCCTTGAAGATGGAGATCGGCTGTGCCATGGACTCGCCATGGGAGAGGATCAGGTCCAGCATCCCATCACCATCAAAATCTGTCACTGCACCCCCTGCAAGGACAGGATCAGGTCATGCCCAGGGCCCGGCCCCACATCTCCCAGCACAACACCCTGCTGCTGGCGTGGGCTCCCACAGCCAGCAGCAACACTCCCAGCAATGCTAGAGCAACAGGGAAGATGGTGTGACCCCAGTGCAGGAGTAAGGGTCCCTGTATGGGTGGCACCCTGCAATCTGGTGGGTCAGCTTACCAGGCAGTGGAGGGGACAGGCAGTGCCTGGGGGGCTGTGGGACACAGGGGGCTGCCTGGCCCCCTGTCAAATGCAGAGGTTAGCTTTGAACAGTGGGCACCCAGGAAGGAGCCCCCCAAGAGTGAAGCCCTGCAGAACAACTGGAGACAGCACCCTTAGCTGGGTACAGGTGGAGGGAGAAAGCATGGGGCCACTCCCGGGTGATGTGGGCTCCAGTGAGCTGGTGGGGAGCAGACTGGTGACCAAACTGGGCATGTGGCATCCCAAGGCACAGAGGGTGCCAAGCGGTGCACATCTCTGGCACGGGCCACCCCTGCCAGGACTGGGGGGACTCACCTGTGCCCCGTCCCTCGGGCTCCAGTGCATCCCCTGGATTCAGCTCTTCCATGATGGGGTCTGAGTGCTCCCTGCGGATGAGCCTGCCGAGCACAGATAGGGCGTTAGTGCCACCCCCTGCAGCCTCCAGCAGCTCCCAGGAAGTGCCTGTCCCCCCTGAGCAGCCTGGCAGAGAGGTGACAGCCCCGGTGGCACCCAGACATGCTGCTAGTGGCTTTGCAGGGTGGATGGGAGACG